AAAAAACAACTGTGGGGAAAGAAAATTTTTCACCTGACCGATCAAGAGTTTGGCTAGCAAAGCATTTGAATCTTCCGCTGGGTCCTTTTCGCTGTCTCTTTTCATGATATTAAGAACCCTGATGATTAATTTAAAAAAAAAAAAAAAAATCCTATCTGAAAATAGAAGAAAAAGAAAAAGGAAATGTATACACAGAGGAACACAGAGGAGGAGCATCATTCATCAACTCAAAATTATAAAAGAAAAATGTATACATCAACTCAACAAACCTCTGCGATTTCTGAGTAAACATCAGCAGGTTTGTCTCCAGCAACTAAATTGACTGCAGCAGCTTCAAACTGAAAATAACCAAAAAAATCAAACTCTTTAAGGAACCATCTGTTAAGTGCAAAATAGTATAGCTGGAAAGAACCATCTACTAACAAAATCATGCTTATTTCACTCATTTCATTCAGATCATTAAAACAAATAAGGATTTATTTGTCACTCGGAACCTCATAATTAATGATGTTTCAAGAGTAGAGGAAACATACTCCAGTTTTTCAATCATTTCAAGTATTATGGACATTTAATGAAAAATCTTACACCCTGAACACATGAATAAACATGTATGGAAAAATACGTGCTGAAAAATAAGAGCTGCATAATGTTGCAAACCATTGCACGATCCATCCTGCAATAGAAAAAAGAATTACAATTCACAACATAATAAATGTAAATAGCACTGCAACAATCATAAGGGAGTGACTGGTACTTTGAATTACAATTCGAATACTTTGCTTTTGGATACATTTTTCAGCATGCATGCACTGAGTTATCGTGTTTCCAATCTATAATTCAAGCTATCTCTGGTTGTTTTATTTTTATTTTTTATTTTTTTATTTTTTTACTTTTTTATTTTTTTTTTTTATTTTTGGTGTCCAAGCACTCTTTATTTCCTTTAGATTATCCAAAAACAACCCAAGTATGGGAACCTATTGCAAGAAAAAAAATATGATTTTTTTCTTAGAATTTCACATACGGAGAGCTTTAGTTCAGTGTCACATCTTTCAGAATGTCTTTCTCGATTGATTTTTTGTGCATTCCTCACACTCCATTTCCACTTCTTTACTTCCTCTGCATCATCCATGAGAAGCCCGGGTATTGGAACCTATAGCAAAAAAAATTATATTTACCATCACAGAAGATAAGCAATTAAGAAAATGTAATAGGTAAATATACAAGAGAAGAAAAGACGTTCAAGGACTTACATCTTCACGGTTTACCAGGCCAGCAAGGTTTCCACCTGATTCCCAAATGCTCTCGACAACTCCTAATATACGTTTATTCACTCTCCACTTAGTGTTTCCTAGAGTATCAAGGGCCTACATATTAAAGAAAAACGAATATATTAACGCACTGCGAAGAAATTGTAAAGAGTGTTGTTTCAGTTGCATATATTACCGTATAGAAGAAAATTGTATTCATTAGCAAGTAAAATGCATGGATGCTAGCCTTAATATGTCACGGGTAAAAAATAATGAATGTGCAAATGTCCAAACTATACTAGATAAAAAAAGCCACTCGTTCAGTTACATACATCGTAAACTTTCTGCATTTGTTTTGAAGGAACAGCTTTGAGAGCTTCCTGTTGCTTCCTTGAACCGCGAGTACGCATTAAATAAGAAGGTAAAAACAGGTAACCACCCTTGTCGTACCTGAAAAGATGATTAAAGTAATAAAAAATTGCCACAAATCAGTGACTGACAGACACACTACCCCTTAATTTAGCTATATTTTAGATAGACAGGCTATAAAGAGCGACGTACTGCCCCTTCCATTTCTCGGGTGGCACCAACATTGGCACATACGGAATGTCCATATGTCTAACCTGCAGAAACCAGAGGCATTGATATATCAAGAAAGTTCCACGAGCTAGCATTTAATTTCAAGAAAATGGAAACAACAAGGTAAACAAAGCTTCAAATGAGCAATCTGAGCCAACCAAAAAAAAAAAAAAGGTAAAACTCACAGCTTGATCAAGCCCAGAAAGAACCAGGGGAGCACACTCTATGACTCCGCACTTCTTCACATTGTTTTTTCTGAAGGAGACAAAAGATCACCATTACGATACACTGACAAGGTCATTAACATAAACGAAACAAGACAAAAAACTAAAAGTGATGGTTTTCCTTACAAAACATTGAACACGTGACTTCTAATGCATACACAACTTCTAATGTTGACCGTGATACATATACATAAGATATAAAATTATAGCAATATACTTCAAGTAAAATTCTAACCCTGATCCTCTCTTCAATAAGTGCCTGAATGCAGGGCGAACATCAGGGGGACTATCAGCTGATTGTTCAACGGGTGGTTGTACATAAGCACTTTGAATTAAGAGTTGTAAAAGACAACATCCCAACTGCACAACATAGACATAACTTCTCAAAAACAATTTGACTTCAGCTGTTGAACTCTATGAAATCAACACAAAACAATACTGCGTATTTGTGTATATACTGAAGGCTCCAAACCTTGGCCTGAGCATTCTGACCCCATGACTTAACTTCACTTCTGACTATTTTTTGCACTTCAATGACACGGTGGCTTCTGATTAAACTGTTGACACGACTTCTAAAAATTGCATCTTCCTTACATAAATCTACCTGGCTTTCATTAGTATCTTCGATTCCTCGATTTTTTGTTTTCTCCAAGAAATTATGAATTTTAACCTGACGAACAGAACCCAATTTAAAAATAAAAATAAATAACAATGATTATCAGCAGTACCAGTACATGATAAAGTTATAACCAAGGAAAATAGAAAATCATCCCAATCTGATGAGAATGTATAAAACATCAAGATGAAAGTGATAGCACAACATAAAATATTTCTCTCTCCATCTCACGGTACTCCGCTCCCGCCTCCGTCTCCGCCTTCACCTGCCGCCGCCGGAGTTACTTCCGCCTCTCCATTTCCTGAAATTCTATTTTGACCCCGCTCCGGCTCCGGTTCCTGAAGAGCAGGCTCTTGTCGAAGAGAGACGAAATCCATGGCGGGTCCTGGATGAATACCCGGCCCTCCGATTGTACGGCCGGGTCCAGGCGGTACCCGTTTGGGATTAACTGCAGGGTGAACAATTTGTGAGGGTTTTCCGCGAAGTCGTCGTCGGTGGGGTGCGATACGGTCGGCGGGAGGATCGAGTCGGGGCTGTGGAGGGACGGAAGTTTGAGGGTTTGAGGGAAAGAGGAAGAGGGGCGTTGGGGTATTTGGGAATAACTGGGAATCTCGGTGCCCGACATGTGAATAAAGATAGGATTTTTGTGGGTTTTCCATGGATGATAATTGGAGCTGTTGGCCTGGCGGAGTTGAGCTATGGGGCTCGGTGAGAATGGCACCACATCCTTTATAGTAAGTGTCAGAAGAAGAGCAGATTTCATGCCAAGAAAAACAGCTTTGATGATCCTCACAAGCTCAAATCATTTTCTGCACAAATTTGTAGAATCGCTGTATGACCATGTCACATTTTCTAGCAAGTTAATATAAAAGAGTTCTTCCACTGTACAATATATAATTTTTTTTGCCTTCAGCTTTCATTTTAATCGTGTCTGTGTTCCTTGCTTTATTAAGTTTGTGAAATATTATATTTAATATGAATTTGGATTATATTTGTCTTGCTTTTGTTGCATAGTGTGTGATGCAGTCAATCCTTACAAAAGTTTCTATTGTTTCTGTTTCTTTATAACTAGTGTGCATCCCATGCGATGCACGGACGGGCTTGTTACTTAAAAATTATTTTTAAAATTTTATCTTAAATATAGTTATTTTTTTTTCGGTACAATGTAAGAGGCTAGACGCCTAGTTATTGACGGAAATAAATATAGTTATTTATATTTAACATCACGTTGCAAGAAGACATACAAAATATACAAAAATCATATATTTATTTATTTATTTAGATATAATGAGTCTCTTGGAAAATTTGAGTAAAACCTCAGGCAACAAATAGTGAAAATTGCTTATAATTGTATGTTTTTTGCTTTACTCCTACACAATTAATAGATAATATGTTTGTTGCTAATTACCATTATAGATAATTTTTCTAAACATATGTTTTCTTTTGACATAAGCCAAGTGTTTGGTATTTATTAGAGTTGCATGTTTTAGTGAGTTGATAGTAATATTTTTTATTCAAGGATATTAAAAAGCAAAAGGTTTCCTCATAGGCAGCTTTTATTAAGTGCAAACAAAAACGATATGGAACAACATAACTAAAACTTAAATCTAAGTACTGATAGTATTTAGGATCTTCATTATGATCCATCAACTTCATTTACACCAGAAAAACTTAGGGTTTGATTGTTTACAAATTATTTTACTTACTTTTTATTTCAACTCAAAATATAATTCAAAATAAACTAAATTCCACTATCTTTAATACTATTTATATAATTAAATAATACAAACAAATCATTCATACACATCACATCAACTTTAATTCACCATTCATCCATTCTCATAATTTTAACTACCTATCATTTCCAATCATTTATCTCTTAGTTTTAATCTTATAAATTATAATCATTTTATTTTAAATATTATTTTAATATATTCTTAAAATTCCACTAACCAGACCCCAACCAGTTGAGAATATACTGGGTATGTTTTTGTTGTCTTAAAATTCCACTAACAATCATCCATACACCTTTTTCAAAATTAACTATAGTTAACCAAAATAATTCATTTTGAACAAATTATTTCATAAACAATTAAGCCCTTATACTCTTTGCAATTGTTGAAACATTTTTTTTTTTTTTGCCCATTCCAATGGAACAATAACTCTAGGTTTGTTAGGTAAGATACCAAGACTATGAGCTTTGGTATCATCCTATTATTGTGTGTTCAACACTATTTAAAAAATATCATTATAGCTTAGTAGGATGTATTGTAATACTTCTATTTTGCATAACATGTTATAAAAACAAATTGAAAATGGGAAATTTTCATGTGTGTTATGTGATTTTCAACTTATTTACAACTCTACCATATTTATATTAATAATTATATTTTTACCTAAAACACTTTATTTATTTATATTAATGTTTAAATCATTTACTATATCATTTCAACCTCTATCCCCTTTTTATGGGATTGATTAGGAGAGAGAAATGAAAATATGCTTATAATAACTTCTTTAATTCTTTAATTCGCGCACTTGTACGTTTTTAATAGAGAAAGAGATAAAAACATTTATTGTAATTCACGCAGATGTCCAGTGGGTATATGTTGGATTTATGTAGGTATATATTCAGTATATGTTGTAATGAAAAACATGTCTACCATCAAAAAATTATGTTTTTATTTTTTATTTTTACTTTTATACATAAAAGTATATATATAGTTTATAAACATATTATAACAAGTTACCAAAAAAATCTTCTAATATACTGAACATATATTCTCAATACACACAACATATACCCAACAATTTACAAAAAGATCTTCTAATACACTCAACATATACTCCCTATACACACCACATATACTGTTTGTCTATATACGCAACATCCAACATATATTGCCATAACATATACTGTACATATACTATACATATACTCAAAAATAAATCAAATGAAAAAAAATTCAAAAAAGTCGTCATGATTTTCTTCTTCTTCACGGCCTCGGGTGTTTTGACCTTGCTCAGCTTCTTCCTCTTCTTCTTCGCTAATGTCATTTTCAAACTTGAACTATTTAACATCTACGACACATGCAACCATCGCCGAGGATTTCCAACTTGAACTAATTAACATCAACAAAAAATGAATACCAAAACAACACCAAGTTATTTGTCAAAATGGATTCAAGCACACCAAGTTTTCGTAAAAAATGAATATTCTAAAATTCATAAACAAATAATCAACCCCCAAAAAAAATCACATTTTTCATTTCATATCAAATTCCTCTAAACATAAACTACACATAAACATAAAATAAAAATTGAAATAATCTGATCAAAACTCTTCAAATGTCGCTCGTGAGAAAGGCAAGAGAACGCGGTGTGGGGGCTGACTGGGGCAAGGCGATGCTTGAACAGCGCGTGGGGGCTGACCAAGTGTTGGTTGTTGACCTCGGTGAGAAAGGCGGTGCTTTCATCAGAGAGTGAGTAATATCGTATGATTTGTGAGAAATTATAATTTTAAAGCTTGTAATGATTGTAGTTGGAGAAGAAGAAAAAAAGAAGGAGAGAGGGGGTGAGGGAGAGAGAATACGAAGAGAGAGGGAGGAGATAGAGAGAGAGAGAGAGAGAGAGAGAGAGAGATAGAGAGAGAGAGAAAGTGTATATTAATTTCCATTAATGATTTTATTAGCATTTAATAAGGAAAAAAAGTAATAACAATTACATTTTATATGTTAGGTATAATTGAAATAATTTTAGCTTGAAGTATAAATGTAATAAAAATTATAGCTTGAAGTAAGGAGTGTAAATTCTTCAATGAAAATTGATTCTTTAGATGTATATAATGCAAGTGTTGTGCTCAAGTGTCTTAGAAATTTGTCATATTAACAAGTAGAAAAAAAATAGATATATATATATATATATATATATATATATATATATTTTGTGTTGAGCATACAACATTTAACTACAATTTGAAATAAAGAATTCACCATTCATGTATTATTAATAACTAGTATAAAAAGGTACCCAAAAAAAATATAATATAAAAGCATTACTAACAAACAAGTTGTGGGAATCATTTATTTATTTAAAAAAAAAAAACAAAAAATAAGTGGACTAAAATAAGACAAAAAAAAAAAATTGTGGACAAAAATAAAACGGACGGATTCTCACAATCCGTGTTTTCATGAAACACGTATTTTGCGAATCCGTGTATGTGTAATTTTACTACGAACACAGATTCCAAAAATCCGTGTTCTGTTAATTATGAACGAAACACGGATTACCATAATACGTGTTCACTTAATCTCGTAATTAAGCTAATTAATTAAACGGAACACGAATTCTGATAATACGTGTTTCGTAAAACACGAATTATGATAATACGTATTTAATTATTTATTCATTTTTTATATTAAAATAAACACGGATTCTGATAATCCGTGTTTATGTAGATTTAAAATATAAATATTTTTTTTTTATAGTATATAGTTTTTTTTAATATATACTATATACATATATTTTATAATTGACTGAGTTGTTATATAATAAAATTTAATTTTTTGGTCTTGTTTATTTATTTTGAGTTATGGCTCGACTCTTGGATGCTCACGAGCTTCCTACTACCGAACGCGTTTATTTTGGCTGAATTTATATTGTTATCTTTCAATATGAAAATTTTTTATAAATTTTGATTTAACATTTTTAACACGAAACAATATCACTTTAATATCAATTCATTCGTCAACTAATAATCTAGTACAAAAAAGTGAAGCACAATTAACGATAAAAAAAAAAAGAACCACGAAATATGTACACAAAACCATCAAATTAAATATCTAAAAATCCAATACAAAAAATAAAACTAACTAACTAGGAGTATATGGATTCCTGGGCTTGCGTACTCGGGACCCTTTCTGAGGAGGCCGTGGTACTGAAGAAGACGATGTTGCGGTCTGTCCAGGCGTGACTGGCTCTTGGTCTTCTTCACAAAATTAATTAATTTTTGAAAAAAATTAATACTTCGACCGAACGAATAAAAAAAAGAAATGAAAATAAATACATATTTGTAGTTAAGTAAAAAAAAAATCTCACCTTGTTCGTCTTCTTCAGTCCCGGGGGCTGCAGTGGCGGGTTCGGCTGCACGGCGTCTTCTCCCTCCACCCCCTCCACCGACGTTCGCCGCCGGTCTACGCCTCGCCCGTTGGGGCAGTGTCTGCTGGGGTGGGATGTAGTCCTCTTGAGATAAAATTTGCCCCGACGACGCCCCTTGTTGTGTGACCGGCAGGCCCCCAACCGTCAGAGAAGTGTAGAGAATACCCCGGGTTTGTTCGTACCCTTGCTGCGATGAGGGGTCTAGCGTACCAAACACGTCTTCCATGGTGGATAGCGTGTTATACGCAACCTCTGTACCCGAATGCTGAAAATAAAATTCATATACTGTTATGAGATGTAAAAATAATAATAATAATAATAATAATAATAATAATAATAATAATAAAATCACAAATTACCAGACACTTCTCCCGGTCGGCAATTGGCTGAAACCCCCCGTCCTGTGTGATCTTCGCGTACTTGGTAGGGTCACTGAGTAGGTTCACAGTCCTACGGCAATACCACTCAATGTACCCATCAGCCGGCTGCAGGAAGGAGTCCACCGGTACATTTGGGAGTACATGATTATCTCTGTCGTCGGTCCAGATCCTCCCAAGATTTGAATGGAAGGCCCCCCAATCGGTGTATGCCCTCCCAGTCATGCCC